ATCTTGATGCATCTCATAGGGATAAAGGTCCTCGTAGGACTTTTGGAGTTTAACAGTCATAGTCGTGAGCATGATGTAGTGGACTTTCGTAGCATCGCACTCATGAGCCTCAAAGCCAGTGATCTCCTCGAGAGTAGCAGTGTTGACGTCCACTTCTTTCAGCTCCTTGTTGAGGATATACTCATTGTCCTCGTAGCGAGTGACCATACGTATGTTGAGGATCCAATCATTAAAATTGTTTCCATCGAAGATCACCCTCCCACACAAATTCATGAGTGGGAATGAGCCGGAAGAGTTAGAGCCAGAAGCATTGTTGTTGTTTGAGGTAGACATCTGAAAAAGAAAAGAGACAAAGTTGGTTTAGATAAGAATCCCCAATTAAACACCCAAATAAGAAATTAGGGCTAGGATCCAACAACATTATTTGCAATTTAGAAGAGGGATGTCGTAATCTAAACAACAAATAATTTGAAGGTAAGTGAATGACGGTTCACTAATTTCCACCATGAAAAACTAAAAGGAAAATAAGTTTTAAATGTATTGAAAACTCATAGATCTTTTGAGATTCATTGAACTTTTCAATGGCATGTTTAAATCTCGATATGCCCTTCAAGTTTGTGACTGGAATACCAAGGATCAAAAACAAGGTGAGAATAACCATGAAAATGTACTTGGTGTCCTCAATGTTACAGTCACCTAATCAATGTGCCGGTTAGCCACACACGTTCCATTGATCTATGACAAACATCGAGTCACCCTTTGCCACCTTTGCTAGACCTAAATTAGTGTGACGGTTAACCACACACACTCCACTAACTTCTTGGCAAGGGTACAAAGTGTAATTTCATGGAATAACATCTTTTTCACATTTTTCCTAAAGTAACTAAGATTTGGGAATTAGTTACTTTATTAATAATTATACTTTTAATGAGGAATTAGTTGCCCTATCCTATCCGTTCGGCTAACGACCCTCCACCAATCAAGAAAGCGATGGGTGAGATTGGACACCAATTAAACTGCCATTTTATAGGCAGCAACCTTATATCCCACTTATAAATCGGTTTCGTGAATGAGGCCTACTACCGGTAAGACTAGCTTAATCTTATACATATATAATTATTAATCTTATAATATTATAATAGTATAATGGTGTATTTTAAACATTTCAAAATACTAGAGTTTTAATCAAATTTAAATTTTCGAAAATTAAAACCTTTTAATTTTAAAATCTTAAATATTAAAACTTTGATTTAATAATCATCCAACATCAAACAATTAATTTAAATTATTAAATCTTGGAGGATTTAAATTAAACAAGTAATTAAACGTAATCCCTTTATCAACTAAAATTCGAAAATTTGGGATGGGATAATTTAAAGATCTTTAATTATCTATTTAAACAATTAAAGGGATAATTACAAAAGATGGCATTATCCTAATCCCTAAAATTTGGGAATCTTATCTTGGGTAATAAGACATTTTCGAAACCCTGGGGTTAAACAACCCTAATTTTGAAATCTTGATGCCTAAGGAAAGGGTTTAGGAAACCCTAATAAAATTTCGAAAACTAGGGTTTAGGAACCCTAATTTCAAAAATTCAAGCCTTTAGGGTTTATTATCCATAAACCCTAATTTTTCATGTTCATACTCTTGTATCAAATCTAATTGAAAACAAAACCAAAATCTCTGATACCACGGATAGGTTTTATACAAACAATCATATGTGTGCATGCAACCCTAATTGGATCTATGTTTTCACTATTAGACATACAACTGAACACAAAAAGAAACCTAGCATGCATTTATAATTTTCGAAATTCACAAATAAGAATAGAATACATACTTTATGTTGCTATATAGTAATAACAACTAGTTCCTTGTGTAGTACCTCTAATGGCTCACAAACACACTTGAGTGAGTAGATGAATATGAGAGAGAGGAGAGGGAAGGTAACAAGCTCCAAAATTCGGCTTTAGTAGGGTTTATCCAAGGGGTAGCCAAATTCTAGTGCCTTAGGGTGCTATTTATACTTGAGACCAACTAGGGTTTCAAGATGGAAACCCTAATCCCTTAGCTTAGGGCCTAAGCAAGTCCATGGACTCCTTATCCCTTAGCCTTGGAAGAAAACTCCTAGAGCCTTCTAGGATTTTTGGCCATGCCTAATAAGGTGATCCATTGGCCCAAGCCTCAACTATCAAACAATTACAAAACAACCCTTGTACTTTTAATTAGTTCCTTTAATTCCAAAATTAATTCCTAATTAATTTCTTATGAAATAAGAATTAATAATATGATTCCAAATTAATATATTATTCATATAATATATTAAGAAATCATATTTAAACCCCAATTATTATTCTTAACAATAAATCAACCTCTCTCCTCAACCGTCATCCTGTCTAGTCACCAGTGTGAAGGCAACCCAAAAGGACTATGCTACAATCAGGTCAAGTACATACCAAATATAGTTATGTACTTAAACACTAATCCAACATAAATAACAATTATCCTTGACTTGTATAACCCTTGGAAGCAAGCGCCACAAATGTCGTGCCTCTAGTGGTTCACATCCAAGCTAGCAAGAAGGAGATCTTAGAGAGAGGAGAGGGGAGGGAAATTTTTTGGCTCTCTAAGAGTATGAGAGGCTGAAATATGAAGGGCTAGGGTCCTTTATATAGTGGTACAAGGAAGTCATGTATAACCGTATTATGAATATAATAATAATATTTCAATTGGTAATTATCCAACTGCATATTTATCCACATGTTATCCCATATAAACCATCTACCCACCTGGTGGAATGTTCTGGAGCTTTTAGTTCAACTATCGAACAATTACACTTTAGACCCTACACTTTTAATTAAGTTCATTAATCCCAAAATTAACTCCAATCAATTTTTGATCAATTATTAATTAAATATTACTATTTCTAGTTAATATATTGTTTTCATAATATATTAATAAATTCTTTATTTCAATTTATTAATCAAATAATAAATCAACCTCTCTCTCCAAAAATCATCTTGTCCAATTGCTAGGTTTGAGGGCAACCTAAAGGACTATACTACTATCAATTCAAGTTTATACCAATTATAATTATGAGCTTAGAAACCTAATCTAACACTTCGTTCACTCGCTGGTGCACCAACTTTAATGGTATTTTCATGAGACTAGAATCGCAAAGCAAAGTTGTGCCAATGATTTTGATGTGTACAATGTTATGTGACAGACAATATAAAGTCGAAATGGGGCATGCTTTCGAGTTTAGAAAAATATGGGAGATTGTCAGGCAACATCCAAAATGGATTAAGACGCTAATATCACTGGGGGCACAATCAAAGAGGTCTCACAATTTTAGTTCGTTTGACGTTTCCGATGCACGGACTAACATTGACCTCAACGCCCACACATATGACATCTTTGATGACATCGAAGAGATCTTTCTCTCCCACCCCTACGCCGACCTATCGGATGCGACAAAGCGAAGCGCACTCAACATCATGCGGACAAAACTAATAGAAGGGCATAAAAGTTGAAGGAAAGGAAAGCAAAGTTCAACCAATAAAATCTAATCATCTAACAAAAGGTTGATGTGCAACATGAGCACTTGGAGTTTCTTTATAAGCGAGCAAAATAAGATCAAATAGCGAATAATTTAACAATTTTCTAAACTAGTGAAGAAAATATGAGAGCACAAGAAGTGTGAGTGCTCCGGAAGATGAAGGAGATCATCGAAAAGAAATAGTTGGATGACTAGTGGATTATTTTTAAGTTTTTAGGATAATTATTATTATTATTATTGTTGTTGTTGTTGTTGTTGTTATTGTTGTTGTTATTGTTGCGTTCAATGTGTTTTTTTATAAAGTTATTTTAAGTTTTTAAAGGTTATGGTTAGTCTAGGATTTAATAAAATTGCATGTTTCATTTTCTTTTAAATAATCCAACATGATTTTTAAAAAAAAATTAAAAATAAATAAATAAATTGAAAAAAAAATGATGCCATAAAAGTTGAGGTTGTTATAACTAATTGTCAATTTCTTCAATTTGATGTTATAACTCCATTTTAACACATGTGAGGTGACATATTTTAGGGGGTGGAAGGATTAGATGTAAGGAAGGTGTATCTTAAGACCCACCTAATTTTTTAATTTATCTAAAATTATTATAGAAATTATTTAGGGGTCTATTTTAAAAAAATTTAGGATCTACCTTACCTATAATTTTTTTTTTTTAATTTGTATAGAAAAATGTATATATAAAAGTTAATGAATGTTTTCTATTTTAGACTCGCCAATGATTTTGGATGCGATAATTAGTAGCCCACACCCACTTGTCTAAAGTTTTTTAACAAATACTCCGGTAACTTAACAAAATCTGATATAAAAGTGTGTTAGAGGTGCTATCATTCTCTTTAACCAAATAGAATAAAATAAAACAAAAATATCACATATAAAAAAAGAAACAATATAATATTACTATTTCTTATCTAAATCTATTTATTTTCAAATTACACTATCAATTCATTGTTATTTGTAAGTGTAAATTTGTGCATTTTCTACTAACTTTAAAAAGCAAAAAAAGTGATATTATAGCATGTTTAACGTTTGTCGTGGCCCCGATTTATCTCTCTAGTGAAACAATATCTAATGCACCTACTTTCTCTGGATCAACATGAATCTTTCTGTAGCATTATTTCTGATTTCCAAAAGGCTCCAAATATCTTTGCCGAAAGGACCATACTACCCATTTGCTCAAACAAACACCTCATGAGTCATGCCCATGTGAAACCAATGAATGCTCCATCATCATCCTTCTTCTCGTAGTTTCCTGAAAGAAAAATCCACTAAAAGGGTACCCAAATTCCTTTTTCTCATCCGGATTCCTCTCCAATCATTTAAAATTCATTCACCCTGATTGAATTTAAAGATCAAGATTAGGTTTGACCCTTCAAAATAATGCGATTTTATTTAAATTGAAGCGAATTTAAAGGAAAAAAAAAGATGGGTAGCAGTTGCAATGAGAAAACGATTGTTTGGTTTCGAAGGGATCTAAGGATCGAAGATAATCCAGCCCTAGCTGAAGCAGCAAGAGATGGCTCTGTTTTTCCTGTGTTCATATGGTGTCCGAAAGAAGAACAACAATTTTACCCGGGTCGGGTTTCACGATGGTGGTTGAAGCAATCATTGATCCATTTAGGACAATCTTTGAAATCGCTTGGAGCTGATCTTGTTTTGATGAAAGCTCAGAGTACTATTTCAGCTCTTATTGAATGCATCACTGCTATTGGTGCTACTAAAGTAGTGTATAATCAACTCTATGGTATGTATGCTCTTGTTCTTATGACTTTCGAAGTCAAATAGTTATTCGGAAGTTACAATTTCGCCTAGATTTATTGTCGTTATTGAACTCCAGTAGCTATTTAATGTTTATAGTTTTAAGAAATTTTAATATAGTAGTTTTCCTTCGTCCGAAGTTGTTTAGATCTATGTCAATTTGCTATTTGCATCCTCGAAATAGATGGTTTGACTGAAAAAGTCAAAAAGGGATTCTAATTTTGGAAACAATCTTGAAAACACAACTAGATTATGGCAAGTATTCCATAAAATGCTATAGTTATGTCTCCATTAAGTCTATTAAGTAAGAAATCAAGAAACATGTAAAATGGATTCCTTATGATGCATGAACAAATTGGAAATTGCTTCTATGCTTCTTACTCAATTACTTCTAGAGTTGGTTATGGTTTTCTAAATATTTGATAGAGCATTAATGCCCTATTTTGCACAAAATGTTTTTCTTGATATATGAGTGTAACGCTTATGATTTATTCATTCTATGTGAATTGACCTAAAGTATGTCTCAACATTTGTAATAATTAGTAGTCTAAATTCACAAATTAAAATTACCTTTATGCTCGTAAAAGAATAAAATTGTAAAGTAATTTGAGTTAGAGTACATGAAAAATGAAAAAATCCCGATGCTCTCAACATGATTCCTACCTTCTTCTAATTAGAAGACAAAGTAACCACATTTAAGTGGGTGAAACGTTTCTCGCATATTCATTAATCCCAATTCCCAATGTTAAATTTCTTTTTAGGGATAAATACAAGAAATAGAAACATATTTTCTTTTCTTTATTTATTAAATCATCTTACTTTTTGTTCAATTCTATATAGCATTGTGCTTTTATTTTTTTTCTTATCAAGACATTATACTTTTGAAAATATTTACCAAATTATATAGCATTGTACTTTCAATTTAAACTCGATTATTTTTCTTATGTAAAAAATCTTTGTATTTGAGTTATACGAAAGAAAAAAAATGGAACTAGGATACTATTTCTTGCATTTACCCCTTTCTTTTTACCCTCTTGATTATTTTCTAACGATTTGATTTGTGGTTTTTTACTTTTTTTTTTTTTTAATAGATCCAGTTTCACTTGTTCGTGATCATAATATAAAACAAAAGCTAGGGGAGCTTGGTGTTCCTGTTCAAACATATAATGCTGACATGTTATATGAGCCATGGGAAGTATATGATAATGAAGGCTATGCATTTACAACATTTAATGCGTATTGGGAAAAATGCTTGAAAATGCATAATGATCCTATTATACGTCTTCCTCCATGTCGATTGATGCAAGCGCCAGGTCAGCAACTTTTTTTTTTTTTTTTAATAAACATATTGCTTTATTCTTAAGATGATATGTAATTTGACTTTTGAGGTTGGAAAAAGTTGTTGTTCTTTTTTATTAGTATTACCATTTTATCGACTAAGGTCTATATAAGCCTGTCAAATTTCTTTAGTGATTAAAAAATTAAACCTTTGGTTCGTTGAATATAATTAATTTGAAAGACACAATAACTATGACATAGTTTCAACAAGATGAAAAAGTGGAAGGGTTTGATCTTTCAAAAAGAAGAAGTTGAGGGGCTTAATCGATTAAGTGTTAAAAGGGATATACATTACCATTTCTTGCATTTAACCCTCCAAAACATTGATTTAACCTTCCAAAAAACGGAAATACATTACTATTTCTTGCACTAAACCTTCCAAAAAATCGATTTAAATCATTATTTTTTCTTTCCTATCATGGATTAATAACAGGATCCGTAGAAGATTGCACAATTGAAAAACTCGGTCTAGAAGACGAATCAGAAAAACCAAGTAACGCATTACTAGGAAGAGGGTGGGCCCCGGGTTGGATAAATGCCGAAAAAGCCCTCAACACATTCATAGAAAATCATCTTCTTGATTACGCAAAAAACCGCTTAAAAGTCACGGGTAACTCCACTTCAATTCTCTCCCCCTACATTCACTACGGTGAACTAAGCATCAAAAAAATCTTCCACACTGTCGTAATGAAGCAAATCCTATGGGCACAAGATCAAAACCACGAAGGCGAAAAATCCGTATCTTATTTCCTAAAATCAATCGGTTTTCGAGAATATTCGCGTTACATTTGTTTTAATTTCCCATTCACTCACGAAAGATCGCTTTTAAGAAACTTAAAGTATTTCCCATGGCAAGCTAATCAAGCGCACTTTAAGGCTTGGAGACAGGGTCGGACTGGGTACCCGTTAGTTGATGCAGGTATGAGAGAGCTTTGGGCAACGGGTTGGCTTCATAATAAGATTCGGGTGATTACTGCAAGTTTTTTGGTCAAGTGTTTGTTGTTGCCTTGGCAATGGGGGATGAAGTATTTTTGGGATACGCTTTTGGATGCGGATCTTGAAAGTGATGTTCTTGGTTGGCAGTATATTTCTGGGAGCTTGCCAGATGGGCATGACCTTCGTCGTCTTGATAGCCCCGAGGTATGTTCTTTTTTTAAATACAGGCGAAATGCAAGAAATAGCAATGTACTTTTGTTTGTTTGGTTGGTTGTTTGTTATAGCATGTTACTTACTTTTGGTAGATCGCAAAAATGATCAATATAATAGGGTGTACTGTTTAACACGTGGATCATTTCTGTAAAAAACATTACATATGGACCTTCTCTATAAATTAAAGGGACAACTTTGTAATTTATTTTCTACACAGGGATCAAACCTACCAACATATGAAAGTATTGTGGCCAAAGTCTAGAACCCAAAAGTATACTTGTGGCCAAAGTCTAAAATCCAAGAGTTTGGTGCTCATAACCAAGTTGCATATTATTGTATATAATGATGTTAAAGGTTATTTTTAGAAGGGACTAATCATAAAGCAATTCCACAAATCGCAAATTCCATTTTGCTAAATGTTGAATAGGTGGTTATTTCCTACAACCTTCCATTTTGGTCATTTTTTTATTAGCCCTACTTACATTTCTTTTTATTACAACGTTGTATTTTCTATATTTTTCTTATTAAGGCAATATGCTTTGATAAATTTACCCAATTATAACATTGTACTCTAATTTTTTTTATCCTATTAGGACATTGTACTTGAAAAACTTTACATAGAGTAAAAAATGCTTTGTATTTGTATCATGTTGCTATAATTGGGTAAAATTTTCAAGTACAATGCGTTAATTAGAAATACTTAGCTATGTATTGCATTTAATCCATTTGTTTATTATAGGAAAATCTCCGATAAAGTCCCAATATTTTCGGTCAGTTTACGGTTTAATCCCAACTTTTATTTTTTAAACAGAAAAGTCCCGATTATCTAATTTTATACAATAA